CCCCCCCCCCCCCCCCCCCTCAGTATGCGTCATGGAGAGGTGCATTATGGGGAATAATAAAGGAATGTATGCACGCCTAGTGTGCGCATCCTGGAGTGCACTGCACATACACGGCATTTGCCAGCCGTAGTCATGCAGTAGCAGCAGTCATCGCCCTCGTTTTTGGACGTTCTGTAGCACTCAATTTTCAAAAAGTGCCACAGTTTCAGTCTATGTATTTTGTATTGAAATAATTTCTAGCTACAGGTAGCAAATATGCCAAACATGACCACACAATTATCTATTATACCTGGCTAGCTATTTTGTTTTGCAACAGTAAATGAAATAGCAGCAGCACTCACGCAGTTGACGCTTCGGTCACTCACATCATCACAGCTCTGTCGGTAGCTAATAGCTACTCCGCACTCACAGTCTTAGCCCAGCCTTATCTACACAGCTCTCAGTTATTGTAGCTAAGTCTTAGCTACACAGCTCTCAGTTGAGGCCAAGCCGTAGCTACACAGCTCTCAGTTGTAGCTAAGTCTTAGCTACACAGCTCTCAGTTGTAGCTAAGTCTTAGCTTCACAGCTCTCAGTTGTAGCCAAGCCGTAGCTACACAGCTCTTAGTTGTAGCTAAGTCTTAGCTATGTAGCTCGGTGGTCGTGCCGCCGCCGCCGCCGCCGGTCGGATCGGGCGAGCGACTCATCGATTACCGCGAGCGTTTAGCCCGCCGACACCTAACGGCGGTCTGTCGCGGCCGGCCGGAGCGGGGCGGAGCGGGGCGGAGCCACAGCGCCGACACTTAGGCCCTTCTGCGCCGCCGACACTCCGGCCGGCCCTCACGACCAGAGGGCTCTAATGACCGCGACTCTCCAGCGCGGCCAGGAGGCCCTGCAGCGGCGGGATGAGGTTTTCAAATTTGTGTTTTACTTTAATTTTGCTATTTGCGAAAATTTCCTGCTTTGATTCAATGACAGCCGAACTATATTTCAATAGAACTTCCTTGAATCAAAATCCGAACTGTCGAGATTGTTTTTTTTTTTTATTTTTCGGCGACGCTTTTGGTGTTTACACAATGCCTGGGCGCATGTTGGGGTATCCGGTCGGCCTGGAGCACTCTCTTGTCCTGTCGTATATGTATGCTGATGGCCGGGCAGCAAAGGCCGCGAGGAGTTTTCCAAGTTTCCAGGAGCTCCCTGGAGTGGGGCAGCGGTTGTGTGTGTGTGTGACCCATATTGTCTGCGCGGCCAGCCCAGCTAGGCTAATAAACTCTGTCGTGGGCGGGGCGGGGCGAGGCAGGGCGGGGCGGGGCGGGGTGGGGCGGGGCGGGGCGGGGCGTGGGTCGCTATGCGTCCCCCGTTATCTTGGAGCGCCACCACCTCCACGGGTGTGCGCCGCGGCCGCGACAGCAGCAGCCGGACCCGTTACACAGAGCACGCGCGCGCGCGCACGCACTCCTGGCAAGCGTGTTACAAAATACAGTCGACGTTTGTAACACTGTAGTAGGTGCAACGCGGCGGCTTGCAAAAGAATAACTTTTGATGTGACTGAGAGGGGGGGAAACGGAGAATTATTGAATTTGTTATTTTTTTTTTTTTTTTTTTTTTTTTTTGCAATTTTTTGTGGCAAAAGCATTTTGAAACCTAAACATTACTGCATCGCTCTGCACACTTGCCAGCCAGTGTCCCTGAGAAAGTATCCGAAATGATCAGTCAGTCAGGAGCGACAGTGCATGCTGCCGATCTCTGGAACGACGAAGGCGCAATGGAGTTTTTTTAAACCGAGCCCAGGCGCGTTTGCTTTTTGCCTTTTTCGGAGGGGGGGGGGAGGGTTGTGGTTGTGCGGGCCTCTGGTGCGAGAGGTGTTCGCGCTAATGAGGGAGAAAGTGAAGTCACGACATGCACGCCCCGCCGCGCCCCGCCCCGCCCCGCCCCGCCGCGCCCCGCCCCGCCTTATGTCATGGAGATGCGCCTGGTCTAGTCTGCCCTTGCGGAGGTGTGGGTGAGAGAGATGGGCCGCGACAGACAGGGTTGGGCTTGGGCCCTCTGGGTACGGAAAGCGAGAGAGAGGGAGGGAGAGAGAGAGAAAGAGAGAGAGAGAGAGAGAGAGAGAGAGAGAGAGAGAGAGAGAGAGAGAGAGAGATGCCATATCTCCTGTCCCTGTCTCTCTCTCCCTCTCTCCTTCTCTCCCTCACGCCCCTGGCCTGGCACTCCCTCCTGGCACCGCGGTGTACCGCTCTACTTAGCGCTCTGCACCGAGGCGGTGGCAGCAGTGGCGCCAGGCAGGCCGGAGGAAGACTTTTCGCCAAAGCTGTACACAAGCTGAGGCGCGCGGCTTGGCGTGTCAGATCACCCCACCCCGCCTTACCCCACCAGGCTGGGGCATTACCCTCCCCGTGTCTCGTCTACGGGTTCATCGGTGAATGCGTGCGCGTGGCAATGCCGTCCTTCGCCATTCTTTCAACTCGTCACTAAATTAATTTTTTTGCCGCTGACAGTTTTTTTTTGTTTTGTTTTTTTAATGCTATCCCTCTAACTTTGAATTATTTTTGTTTTGCAAAACTCGTTGGGTATAACTACCGCGGCACGCTGAGGCATCTCCACTCCATGGGGCCGGTGCAGCGCGCGTGCCTGCCTGCCTGGCGAAACCTGTATGCCTCTCTCCCTCGCTCTTTAACCGTCGTCATGTTTCTTGCACTTCGTGAAAAAGAAAATGGTTTCAAATGGGGCGTACACTCTTGCAAAAGTGTATACAGTAACACGTCTGTCTCACGCTTTCGTTTTATTTGTTTTTCTAAATTATAGTGGAGATTCTTTTCAGTGTTTTGGGCTTGTGCTTACGTGAGTCACACAGCGCCGCACCCTGCTCGCGACAGATTGTGCATTCTATGCAAAGGAGAACCCCGCCTCGCCCCGCCTTGCCCCACCTCCCGCCCCGCCCCGCTGGCCGGTGTCACACCCCGTGCTTGGCCGCCTCAGAGACCCAATCGTCGAGG